AACAAATATAACTAAGCCACAATCATCCACCATGCAATAATACATACAAGCATCACATGCATCACATCATACATATTAAAGCATACACCGGGCGAACCGCGCTCGCCCCAGACCTAGTTTATTCTATTCTACGGAATAAACTATCAACAATAAATTAATTAAACTAGCAAGTAATTTAATTAAAAATCATAAAATACTTTAAATTTCCAGAATGTTAGAAATTTGATTTTCTAAATTCCAGAAAATAAAATATTTTATATTTACCGTATATATACATTTAAATTCAAAAAAGGGATTTTATTTCGAATTAAATATATATATGTTTTCTAAATTAGCAAATAATTATTGGAGACTCTCAGTAAACTTTATTAATCTGGAAATCCAAAAATTCCAAAATGAATAAAATTTAAAATTTTGAAAACCGTTTTTCCATAGCTAGAAAACCGAAATGATATTGTGAAAATATATTTCGAAATTCCAAAAATAACAAAATTTATTTTTCAAGTCAAAAATAAGTTCCAGAACCAGAATATGATTTTTCTAGAATTTAAAATATTAATTTAGAAATTTAAAATAATTAAAAATCGGACTAGTGAATAGTACCGATCCAATTACTTCAAAAATAAAAAATAAATACTTTTACGTGTTTAAAAATTATGAAAATTTTTATGCAAGCTTAAAATATCTGGTCGCAACTTATTGTGAATTAAATTTAATTTTTGATCGTCAAAACTAAGTTTTCCTATTTTCTATTCAATAAACGAATTTAAAAATAGAAAAATAGGAAATTAATTCCAAAAATCGATTTTAAAATTTCTGAGTTATATTGACATGTCAACTACATCCCAGAAAATATAAAATCTAATTTTCATAAATATTAATTATTTATGGCACAAATAACAAGTATTCTACACATAAATTACGTAATAAGAATAATATAAAAATACTCCAAACAGTAATTCCGAAAATTACTAAATAAAATTATATTAGGTCCAGTATCTAAATATGGCCACCTAATTAAATTTTATAATGGGATAAATTTTTGTCTCCAAAATTTATTGACTAATTTACAAAAACGATAACGGTAAAAACTACTAAACTAGTAACTTCGTAAGCCGGCTCTGATACCACTGTTGGGAAACGAGGATTGGATAACGCAGCGGAAAACAAAAATTTATAGTCCAAAACTTGATTCCACCCAAGAACAACTTACGTAAATTACTAGCTATAGTAAGAAATTTACCTTAACGGTGAAAAACGGAGAACGGAGAAACGGTCGGGGATGGTTTTGAGGAGATGAACGTAGCGCCAAACGTATGAAGCCTCCAACGTATCCACACGAACTTGCTCCGGAGTCCTAGATTAAACTTGTGCTAGCAAGTTTAATATAGGATAGTAAAAACTATAATAATACTACTTTGGGAGTAATAAATATATAGTAAAATATTTATCTTATAAATATTT